CAAGTATACATTCACAAAATAGAAATTAAAGTAGGGTTATTTCATTGTGAGGGCGACACGTGAAAGGTGAGATGGAGGTGACATGCCATTGAGGTGGATTTAGTGTTTACAAGAGCGTTTCACATTCGGCCTTGAAAATCAGACGCGACCCAAAAACGCCGTTTCATATGCTTTAACCGGCGCCTGTTCCCCTATGCGACCGGAGAAGTTCAAGAAACCGGCCCGTCAAGCATCGATTCCGGTGAGCAGCTTCCGGAACCCATCGGTCGACCCTCAGAATTAGCCAAACCCATTGTGCACGAATGAGCCAGTACGAAGAAGAAACATTCCAGATTCAATTTTGGACGCATTTTGACAAGTTTGCGCCCGTTCACCAGTCATGGTGCATCTATCGAGCAACTCCGCCTAACCCATCAGGTATTATCTTCTTCTTTATGACCTTTTCTTAAAACTATTGTATTTAAATTGTGAAGAGCAGGCAGCACCAAAAACAACCGCTTCTTATGCCTCTTGTTGGAGTTCCCACATCGGAAAATAAAGATGAGTATCACTTGCATATGTTGAAGGGTGAAGCCCTACCTATAAGCTTAAGCTTTTGGGTTAGAATTGTGGATCCCGACTTTATATGCAAGTGGTTAATTTTACCCGACACTCTATCCGTTGTTCTCGGCCCGCCGGAATTTCTACATGGTATCAGAGCCAGTTTTAGCCCACCTCGTTTGTCAAGGTGTCCGTCTAGACGTTCATTCCTAGCGGCCCGTTTGTCTTTAGCCCAGTTGTCCGTATGGAGTATGTACCCAACGGCCTGTGGCCCGTTTAACCCGATTGCACGTCTGGAAGTCCATACCCAGCGGCTCGTGGTACTTTAGGTGTTGGCGCTCAAAAAAAAAGTCAAGGGAATGGGAGTTCATTTGCAAGTGGTCAACCGGTTAGATTCAAAATGGCCCGGTTGTCCACTTGAGGGGAAGTGTTAAGAGTACATCCCACATCGGAAAATCCAAGAGTAAAATAATCGGTATATAAGCTCTAGAGTTGAACTAACTAATCGATTGGATTCAATCTTTTAATGTGGTTCAGCCCAAGTGTCTTATAGCCCAATCCAGTTGTCCATACCCATCCTAAACTTTACATGGTATCAGAGTAGGTCCGGTCCGGGTTTGATTGTTCCTGGTTGTTTGGGCTGAGTTGGCTAAAAAGAGATTGAGATGTCACCGCCAGTTGTGTCGGCTAGCTATAAGAAATTGAGATGCTAGGCCCGTTTGTCCAAGTGCTAACTAGGCCATGCTAGTTACCACTTGCGGGGGAGTGTTGGAGTTCCCACATCGGAAAATAAAGATGAGTATCACTTGCATATATTGAAGGGTGAAGCCCTACCTATAAGCTTAAGCTTTTGGGTTAGAATTGTGGATCCCGACTTTATATGCAAGTGATTAATTTTACCCGACACTCTATCCGTTGTTCTCGGCCCGCCGGAATTTCTACACCTCTGTTGTTCACTCTTCAGAAATATAAATCCAATCTGATTAGTTTCCTCTTTCAAGAATTTTGAGGAAAAAATATCATCTGATCATTCTCAACTAAGCTAAAGCCCTACTGCACCTTAGCCTTTTAATCAATCATTGCGGGATTCATATCTGCACTCTTTCTTTGTGTTGCTTTACAATTCTTTCATCTTTCATATCTGCATCTATTATTCCGCGTCTAGCTTTTAGTTAAACAAAGAGGGCTGATATTTTGATTGCTTATTCTTTCCAAGGTTATTAGGATTGCTGGTTAGATTGTGAGATCATATTTCTTCTTTCAGCACCCCTTATTGATTGAATTGCAAATCAATACCCCTAATTAGACAAATTGCAAAAATGCAATCCAGCCAAGAATCAAAATTGCCCCGTACTTTTACCTAATTGTCAATATTTTTCTGGCCCTATTTTGTGTAATTGAAGCTGAATGGACGAAGATTACTCCTACTACTTTTTTTTACAGTCCTGCAACTACTACTACCCCTTTTAATCATTTAATGTGTGAATGTTATAAGTGAATTTTATTTAGGGGGAGATTAAGATAATAATATTAAAGAGAAATGAAAATAAGAGTAAGAATTGACCTCATGGAATCTTATAGCCCACAGTATACAGGTCTAATTTTGTATAGTATACCACATGACCTATTAGCATTTTTACAAGTGTTAATTTATTTATATGTCTTCCTATTAATAGTAACCATATCTTTTAACTTTGATTTATGATTCCTCATGTTTATAGGTTTTGGAAGTGAGAAATGGATTCTACGAGAACTCATGCTGCAGCTTTGGATTTTGCTTCTATATGCCCTTCATTAATGAAAGTTCATAATTTATGCTACTGCACTCTGGTATATAAATAAAAAGAAAAAAA